AATTCCGTATTTTATCAATTCGCTCGTTTATTTCCATTTATTCTTTTTCTTTCGTCATAGTAGTTATAGGTCCTGGTTCACTGGTTGATTTTATTTTTATGCTCTACATATTTTTTTTAATTTCAGAGGATATGTTTATTTCGAAACGAAGTGCATGAGTTAGTTTCATCAGTAGCTCATATTCGTGTTAAGTTCTACTTTCTTTTAAACTAAAAGTGGGAACATCACAAGAGAATAAACTTATGCTCTCGTTTTTTTCATTTTCCTTATTATAACAGCATGTTTAAATTTGTTTTACCGTACAAATCGAATTCCTATACTGAAGTTATGGTAGCAGAATTTCAATTTGGTTGGATAGAGATTAAAGATGGATAAGAAATTTTGAGAACGTTATTTCTCAAGTTAAGATGGAAATCGAGGTTTTCAACATAACTGGGAAGTCTTTGGTCGAATCAGCATTCAATAGTTCAACGTCCATAAATTCCTAGTGACTGAACGGGTCTGTATTATTTGACTGAGATTGAAGTAAAATGATCATTAGTATCTTGACCGTTTATTCATGATTTATTATTATATATTGTGTCTGTAGTGACTGCTGATTTCTGCAGTTTGCATATTTTCTTGTGTTCGGATAAAAATATATCAAAATCAATTAAATTGTTTGTTGTGTACCTCTTATTAGGTTTGGATATTACTCAGTTTTCTGAACCTTTGAAGCTCAGTCATGGAAAATGTCTAGATGATCTAACAGGAATTTACAGTGTTTCGTCAAGTGCTCCGATTACTCCAAGTGTTATATTGCCAAGAAGTTATTGCAGTCATTTGGTGATTAAATAAATGCAGATATGTAGACTTTAGATTCGGATAGCTAGTAATAAGGAATCAGTTTATAATCTGTCAAGCAAAAACATAAAGATGAAACGTGATGTCGAGTCGTGCTTGACTATAAACACCGCTACAAGAAGACTACGTGCCAGTTAACCAATAAGATCCCCGTAGTTCAATATCAGAAGGCAGATGATGGCTGTAGTCGAAATGTATTTGTTGGCTATCTCGTGGTATCGAAAGAATATCGAGATCGTGCCGAAGGAGTACAAGCGTGGTTACTAAGTGTAATCGAATTCGTACAAGTTTAATGTTAACGGGAGAGCGAGTAATAGTAATGGCTGTCATTAACACAGTTAAACAAACGAGCACAGTAAAACAATCACTGGTACAATTGGTTATAATAATAATTGTTTTCATTGAACCAATCGCGTTCTGCTGACAAAAGTAAGTCACTGCAGGAACCCCCCCGTTAGAAAGGGTTTACACTTTCGATAGGTAGCGGTTTGATTCGTGGGACTGATCGGCAAAAATGCTGTTGTAGGACGGAAGAATTGGCGAAACAGGAAGCGATCGTTGATCCTCGACTTGCCAACAAAAGTCTTTTGCGCAGAACGGTACCAGGAGAAGTGTGCTGTATTTGTTGCTTGAGTTAGCGTACCACACCAGAGTGGTTTGTATCCAGGATCTGAAGATTGCGTTCGTAGGGATGCGGACCAGGGAACGTTTCAGACGTAGGACGAAACTACGTTGAGCCAAGAAACCGGAAACGACCATAACGACCAAGCGCGAAACCAAGCGTATGCCAGGCGGATTCGAAACCAGATTATCGACTGAGTGTGTTGACAAGAGCGTAGGTGATCAGGCCAGCTTTCGCCAAGGTTGACTGAAGTCAGCGTTACCAAACGGGTGATGGTCGGAGCATGGGCTCGGGATACAAAAAAAATCAAAAAAAGAAAAGTGTAGCATGCGTATAGTATAGGAATAATCCTACACCGTATCCGTTACTGACTGTGCGGTTAGTCGCAGAAGCGTGCGGGTAAGCGTACTCGACGACCGGAACGTGAGACAGTAGTCTCGTGGGTCTGCGATCTCATCCGAGGTCAAGGGCGGCGTGGTCTGCTGATCTGGACGTGAGACGGAAGTCTCGTCCGTAGATAGTGCAGATGACGCGTGCTGTTGACCGGGACGTGAGAGCGAGGTCTCTGATGTATCTAACGTAGTAGGCGCAGTAGGCTACTAGCAGTTTGCGGCCAAAAGCGCTATATCTCGTCTCCGTGGGAGTAAGGCTTCGTGAGAAAAATTCGAGCGGTTGCCAACTACCCGAGATATTTTGTTGCATAAAGGTTCCTATAGCGAAATTCGATGCATCAACCGCTATACTAAGCGTGGCTGATGGGTCAGGATGAGCGAGAAGTGTAACTTGATCGAGAGCCGTTTTGATCTCTGAAAATGCAGTACGTGCGGTATCGTTCAATTCTAATTTGCGTGGATTACCGCGTAGTAAAGCAGTTAATGTTCGTAACCGTTCTGCCGCGTGTGGAATAAAACGTCGGTAGAAGTTAACCAAACCGAGAAAAGCCTTCAGTTCCTTGAGTGAGGACGGCACGTTGTAGTCCTTGATTGCTCGAACCTTGTCCTCGCAAGGCAGAATACCCTCTATCTCATGATACGTGGAACACATTTGGTTTACCCAAATAGTCGTCATACAGTAGCTTTTCTGTTCCTGAAACCAACTTGATTGTAGCGCTTTGAATCTTTTCTAACAGCTTACTATCTTTTATCAGGCAGGTATGGGCTACTTGGATATGTAGAGGCAAATAAATTCTCAAAATAAATGGCTTCACAAATCTTCAATATCGTTGCCGGCACTACCTGTTTAACTGGACATACTCCTGGCTGAAGACGTTTGTTCAAGCATCCTAACTAGATCATGTTTGGGCACGCAGTGCTGCACAGTCACGGGGAAAAATGTTCAGTTTTGCATTGAAGTGGTCACTTATCCGTTTTAACGACTTTGAGAGGCTTATGTCACATTAAGTCAATGTCATAGTTATAGCCTACTTTAACCTGATAATACCCGTGCATTTAGGCTTTGAAAATTACTAAATGATGGACAGCTATGTGCATCGCCTGTTTTTTATATCTTTCAGCTAAATAAAACCTTTGTGTCGTTTTGTTTAATTGCACATTTATGGCTAGTAGTAGATGGGACTGGAAATTTTGTCGTTATGTTAAGACACTGATTCTTCTGTCCATTTATTCAGCAGTACTACTGCGTCACGTACTTCTAGGAGTGTTCCGACTAACTTAACGGATACTTCTTGACAAACAGTTATGTACCAAATTTCTCAACAAGCAATGAATTCGAAAAGAACTAAAAAGGACTCTAACGCGTAATAATAATATAGTTCTAATAAATGCACATATCATGTGCTCACTACACTCATCTAAAATAATAAAGAATTACTCACTAAGCATTGTAAATATTTATTTACTGTCTCGAAATGCACGTTCGGCATGGAAATAAAACCACGAGGATTCTGTGTTATTGATAAGGATGAAGATTTCCAAAGTAGGTTGTTTATGCCATTGACTGGTAGGCTTACTCGAGTTGGACGGGAATGACGTAACCAATCAATTGACGTCGATATCGTACTTCATGGTTAACACCTAGCAAGGATTACCCTTTCGTCGTGTTCGGGTACTAGGACTACTTCGTTAACCGTACAACACAAACAATGTTATTACAAAAGTATATCAGTAAGAGTAGGTACAAGAAACAGAATGCGACCAACGCTATATGCACCACTCCATGGCATGCGACTGATTATCTTTGGACTTAACGAGAATCGAAAAAAATGTCTGATATTTAGTTACCTGGTTACCGGATGCTTTGGCCAGGGCTAATTAACATTTCACTGGCTTTACAACACTCTCAACAGATTCACTAGCCGTTGAAATGTGTAACATTTATTTTTACTGCACCTTTGCAATTGTAATAAAGTTGTTTCACAGCTTCCCCATATATATCCCTTTGCCATAAGACTATTGGATTGCATTTAGCCACATCTATTCCATCAACTGTCTGATAGCACATACTTAAAGACATGTTTTTGTGACAAGAGTAAGTGACGGTCGGATAGATCACATATCTCCTGAGTCATGATACGGCTTTGATCAGCTTTCACCAATTCCAGTGGTATAACAGGACTGGACTTGAGCTATGTTTCACCGTGCCTGTGTTGGTCATGCGAGCTCTTTTAAATCCAACGTTTTTCGAAGGCGTTTCCCAAATGAGCTTCGGTATTTTTATAAATTCCATATTACTTATGAAATAACGGGCTCCAGGCCATATTTTTAAGTCTAGTCCGTTCCGTATGTCCTTTGAAGTCCAGTCGGCAAGATTTTCCAACGTGTCCTTACAGCCCATAAACGTTAACTGGTGAATAACAGTCAGGCGTTTTGCTATTAAGTTGGAATACTTGCTCTTCGTATTCCCCACGTAGTACAGAACTATCATAGAATCCGTCTAAAATCGAGTCTTACAAAACGTGCGTGGAAGATTTTTATTCAGAACTTCACCCATTCGGACACTCATAACTGCCTCTATCAGCTCTAGTCTAGGAATAATTACTGGCTTTATAGGAATGACTCTGGCCTTAACATAGAGCAAAAATCTGTACGGGTTTTGTGCCTGGGTATATTCCACGAGTAGGCTTACGCACTGTAACCTGTTTTGGAGGCATCTGAAAACAAATGAACCTCAGTCATCCCAAAGTTCTCTCTATTCTTATTTCTAATATCTTACAAACTTAACCCAGCCGTTCCACGAGGATACAACACTAGCAATTAGGAGCTGGCCACAACCTTCGAGACTTTTAGTTGAATGAACATTTCTTCTGCATCTGCAGAAACATAAACCTGAAACGTAACAGGATACCAAGTTTGCAGTTGTATCTGGACTTTGTTAGAGGTCATAATTAGACAACTGAAAAAAAGAATATTCAAAGGTAAGCCTGCAACAAGCATTTAAGAGAATACACTCACTATTGATGACAGAAAGATTATTATGACGTCGTTTTTACTTCATTTTCGTTTTAAGGTAGTATCTATATAACAAGATCCGGGCCGTAGTATTGAATATTGAACGACCTTACAAGTCTTCTGGGTCGTTTATATATTGACCTTCAGCCGCGTGAATGATTAGTGTTCGTGAAGTGCGGAAACTTAGAGGCAGCAACAGGCGATTGTGGACTTTAAGTTGGAACCATAAAGGATCTGTTTTGGTTTCCGGTGGGGAAGACAGAATAATCAAATCATGGGCCAAATGTGATGATGAATCATGGGTTAACAGTTTCTCTCTCCCAGAGGCACACAAAAGATCAATTAGATGCATAACATGGTCACCATGTGGTAACTACATAGCCTCAGCAAGTTTTGATGGAACAGTAGCCATTTGGAAAATTTTCAAAGAGGCTTCAGGGCACGAAATGGAGGCGCTTGTGACCTTAGAAGGTATGTTTTTAATACAATATATTGAATTAAAACCATTTCTTCGTGTCACATTCAACAATTTAAATAAAGTTGACCATGCTTATTTGTTATTTGGGTCTAGTACACAATTTGGTTGACCGAGACTTTGGTCATTTTGCTAGATTCGTAGTCGTAGTCTACTATAGTAGATTCACTTGCACTTGTAGCATAAAGTTGTTTCTGAATTTCAGGTGGACCTTGGTAATTTTTTATTTATTAATTGTTTACAATGTAGCGAAATAGCCTTTCTGCTAGACAAGATGGATTAATTTCTTAACACGGAGTAGTATTTAAGCCGGTGTTCTTATTTATCGTAAGAATCTGGTTAATATGCCTTGTTTGAATCATTCCGTTTTATACAATAGAAAACGAAACTGTTATTTGGTAGCTGAGAATCAGAGTTTCCACTCTGGGCGAGTCACTGTATAAGTTGAAAAATGCGGGTACATAAGTGACGTAGTATATATAAAATAGTGATAATAATAATAACAGTGTTATCAAGTGAATATGAGATATCTGAATTCCAATTGAAGCTAGAATAGTATTTCGTAAAGTAATTGTCATTTCATTAGATTTGTGTGAGGGTTGTGATATTGCCCGGGTCCCCAGACCAATGGTGCACATGGGCTTCAGTATCCCGAGAGAACTTATCTACCTCTATTCTTACTTCATGTATCCCCATTTTTCAACTTATACAGTAGTTCGCCCATGGTGAGAACGCTGTTTCATCTCGAGTCACTGTCTGATCGTGCCCCCAAATGCTCTGGTACGGCTGAGAGTGAAGAGAGTCCTCTCTCCCTCTCGAAATACTCTCACACGGTTAGCGTATACAGCCTCTGCCAGGGAAGTCCTACTCACTGCATTCACGTGGCGAGGGTGTTGTTTACGAAAATGAGAGGACGAAAAGCGAATGTCCGGTGCTTTAACCGGATCCCAAACCAATGGTGCACATGGGCTCCAGTATCCTGAAGGAACAAATGGCGTATGAACCAATCGTTGGTCACCGGCTACCATGTGACTTCATCTCCTTATGTTGCTCCACTGCCTTGTGGATTAGACCTTTAGGTCCAAGGCTCGAGGTGTACCTCCCAAAGAAAACCGCTTGTTTCGTTTCGGGCACCCGGGCAGTATCTCATCCCTCACAAATCGATTGATTTTTATCAATGAATACATTTGCGATTTGTTCATAAACCATCCTCTTTCAATACAGATTGTTTCCTCACCTGACTTGTGGAGCTTAAATCTTCTCTGCCGTGAACTTTCTCACTAATGCATACTTTTCAAATCTGAGGCGAACAAAATACGTAGCTTTATATGGGCTAGGCATAGGGAAATATTCTTTTTCGGTAGGTAGTGTATGATATTATATAGTGATAACATTTTATTATAGGTAGTCATTCAATTTCACACTAATGCAAACTATTTTTTATTGTTTTTCTCATACATATTAGGGCATACTAGCGAAGTCAAGTGTGTTGCTTGGTGCCCATCCGGTCATCTGATAGCCACTTGCGGTCGAGATAAAAGTGTCTGGTTGTGGGAATTCGATGACGAAGAGGATGTTCAGTGTGTAAGCGTTCTGCAGCCCCATTCACAGGATGTAAAATCAGTAGTCTGGCATCCACACGGTGAGGTGAGTACACTTGGTAAGTATTTTTCATGTTAAAATGGTTGGGTGCAGGTTCATCTTCGTCCAGGTTGTGGATCCATTGTTCACATATTCACTGCCAGTCTATATATATATATATATATATATATATATATATATATATATATATATATATATATATATATATATGCATGCTTGAATCTTGATTCATCCGATTCTCACTTTGCCTCTGTATTCGCTCTCTCACTTTAGCATTTCTGGTCGAACTCGCTTTGTGTGCTTGTGGCCTGGTGATCTGTGCTGCTCAGTAATAAGCTGTAGTTGATGGTTCTTATTGTCTTCTGGAATTTATAAATCGTGGGGATTTATTTAATAACGATTATCAGAGTGACTGATATACGAATCCTCAGGTATTATGTCAAAGACAGTTCACTACAAGCTAAATGAGTGAACACTGTTACACCTACTTCTAGGTATCAGTCGTACTTTTTGATACCAGTTTAAGGGCTTAAAATTAAGCCATCTACATGTCTTACTAGGCTTTACAACTATTAATGGCTAAATACAAAAAGATTTTATCTATAGTTCAAATTAAAATGCAATATTGGTGCAGATTGACTTTAATGCCCATGTAGGTAGCTTAAACGAAACAGAAAGATATTTAGGTGGGTATTTTAGTATTCCGGCGCAGCGAACAGATAATGGTGATCGTCTGCTGCAACTGTGCTCAGGCAATCGTTTATTTCTAGCAAACACAAATTTTAAGCATAGGGAGAGACATCGTCTAACATGGCGACCCCTTGCACCAAACCAACAATGGACTCAAATAGACCATATTGCCATCAGTCATCGTTGGAGAGAGTCGATAGAAGATTGTCGCTCATTCTGGAGTACCTGCCTTGACGACCATGCCCTAATACGAGCACGCATCCGCTTGCGCCTCACTGGACGCAGAAAAGCCACACTAAAAAGACCCATTAAAACTGAACTGAGTAACGAGAAAACCAATCGTAGGTTCCAAGAACAACTGAGGTCACACTTAGGTAGTTCTGAAAACGAGGCTGACCCAGATGTTGTTTGGAAAGATATACAATCAGCTTTGGAAACAGCAGTGACATCTATTAGCAATTTAAACCACAGGGTTACAAAGAACCAATGGATTTCTTCAGGGTCTATTGCACTGATGGATTCTCGTAAACTCATCCCATCAGGCTCTGAACACGTTGAAGAGCGGAAACAAATCAGATCTAGGTTAAGCAAAAGTCCAAGGAACGACCGTGAACAGTGGTGGGCAACGAAAGCAAAAGAGATGGAAAAGGCGGCGGCTATGGGGAACACAAGACAAGTTTACAGACTAATAAAAGAAACTGGAATGAATAAGTCAAGTGTAAGTGAGACTATCCCGGAAAGAAAAGACTCTCATCTGCTCCCAGTTCAGACGTTTAGAACGATGGGCGGGACATTTTAGAGAACAGTTCAGCTGGCATTCAGCTACTCTACAACTACTCACCATTCCCAGACAATGTGAATAGAACATTGAAGTAGGTCCTCCAACTCTAGCTGAAGTTCAAAAGGCTATAGGTAATCTAAAACGAGGAAGGGCAGCTGGTCCAGATGGATTGGCTCCAGAGGTCTCTAAGGATGGTGGTCCAATTTTAGCGACTAGGTTGACTAATATTTTAGATAAAATCTGGGAGTTGGACATAATTCCCTCTGACTGGTCACAATCACTTATCGTCCCAATATATAAGAACGGGTCAAAATCATCCTGTGACAACCATAGAGGGATTGGTTTAACTAATATAGTTTCTAAAATACTAGCCTCGATAATTATAGGACGCCTAACTAAGACTCGTGAACTGTAAACACGAGAGAATCAAGCTGGCTTCAGACCTGGTCGTGGATGCATAGACCACATATTCACCATTCGTCAGGTTCTAGAACACAGGCATACTTATCGGCGTCCGACAATAGTGGTCTTCATTGATTTAAAAGCAGCGTTTGACTCTGTTGACCGAGAGGTTCTGTGGCAGTGTCTGTCATTGAAAGGCGTACCTCAGAAGTATATAAACCTTGTGAAGGCTCTTTACTCGAACACTACTAGTCGAGTGAGAGCTTATGGCAAACTGTCATCTGCTTTCGCAACCTCAAGTGGCGTCCGCCAAGGCTGTCCACTTTCTCCATTTTTGTTCAACTTCATCATAGATCTACTGATGGAAATAACGCTCTCATGGACTGAATTCTCAGGTATTGATCTCCTACCAGGAGGTCCACTTATTGACTTAGAATACGCAGATGACATAGTCTTGTTTGGTGAGGACGCTGATGAAATGCAGAGTCTTTTGGTAGCACTGAGCAACAATGCCAGAATGTTTGGGATGCGCTTCTCTCCCTCTAAATGCAAGTTGTTGCTTCAGGACTGGTCTGCGTCAACACCTGGACTAAGGATAGGGAGTGAAGTAGTCGAACGCGTTGACAACTTCCCTTATCTTGGAAGTCTGATCAGCCCTAATGGATTGGTGTGCGACGAAATCTCAGCACGGATTCGAAAAGCTCGTTTGGCCTTTGCCAACTTATGTCATCTATGGCGAAGGCGAGATATTCGTCTATCAATTAAGGGACGAGTATACTGCGCGGCAGTTCGTTCCGTTCTTCTATACGGCTGCGAAACACGGCCATTAAGAGTTGAAGATACTCGTAAGTTACTAGTATTTGACCTCAGATGCCTTAGAAATATTGCTGGTATCTGCTGGGATCACCGGGTAAATAATAGTGAGGTTAGACGTAGGGTATTAGGAAACGATGGTAAATCAGTTGATGAGGTTATGAATCTTCATCGACTGAGATGGTTGGGCCACGTGTTGCGTATGCCTGAACACCGATTACCACGACGCGCAATGCTCACTGGTGTTAGGGATAATTGGAAGAAAGTTAGGGGCGGCCAAACCAAAACGTGGCATCAGTGCTTGAAGGCACTAACTTCTGGTTTGAGCCATGTTGGTAGATGCAGACAACTTGGTTGGGGTCCGCGTGACTATCGTAAACAATGGTTGGAGACTCTTGGTGACATGGCTTAGAATCGATCACAATAGCATCGTTGCATACACTCTCTGTCTTCCTTTAAACTAAGAGAATAAAATCGCTTCATGTCTTTTTTTCTACGAACTAATTCTTTCTTCCTGTATTATATCCTCATACACAATCTTTCTTTTATATACTACTACCTTTGATGTGACTACTTCTATGAATCCGGTGTCCATCTTGTTGTGCTAATAAGGTATGGCAACTTGGACCAATGCATATATGTGCCTGGTCCTACGTTGCAGCTAACTGAGCTGACTGAGATTGTCATAACATGAAATCCATTGATCATTGAAGTTATTTGCTTTTTTCGTACCATTCATATATGAGAGTTGGATTGAGATAATTACTAATAAGCACTATAAATATAATGGTTTTTTGTAGTTTAAAATCTTAAACCTGGTAATTGTCAGACACATTTAAATCAGTTTGGATAATTTGACAGATCAATGCCTAGGAGTTGTCACTTAAATTAGCTAAAATTTTTAGGACTATAGGTAAAACAGGGGGTTTTTTCTTACGTGATGAAAAGCTTCTCAGTCTGGTATTCGTTTTCAAGTAATACGTCGTCTTTTCTTGCTAAGGCGTTCCGTCATCGTAAAAATACCTCGGGACTCCAATAGTTGACGAAACTAATTTGTACTGCTAATTTGCACAAGATTATCACTGTTTTTGTACATCTAATAGTGTTAGACTTTGTAACAACAGCTATGTGCTAACTAGCAGGAAATGTAGGTTGGTTTACTACCAACCACTCAACACCAAAACACAGAGTACGCGATGCCGAATTGCAGCCGAATAACGGCCACATTCACAACCGTTTCTACTACCTGACGGGGTGGTCGGGCTTGCTTAGTGCGATGAACCAATTAGGCTGTACTGACCGGGACAATCGTCCCTCAAAGTTTTACCATGCCAGGCAGGTCGGCTGAAGAGCGGTAAGACTAAAAATAGCAAACCCAAAGTCCGACGGCGAAGTTGTACTGCTGATTGTACAGAGGTGTGGCGGCTTTGAGGTGTTTCCCTCAGACAACCAGCATAACAGCGATGCTACCTTTCCACAAAGGAAGAGGGGTGTTAGATAGGTCGACCCTAAAAGTGCACACCGTCTTATCTCACGTAAATCCGTCTCCGGTGGTAAGGTCTCAAAAAGTACGAAGCTAATACAAAACTTACCCACGAAGAGGTCATATGTGACCAGCCTCAAGAAGTTGTTCCTTGGACACTGCGGTCACGCTGTCAGGTCAATAAGACCAAATGTAACCCAGTTTTCTGTCCAGGTACCTCTAGAAGAACTCTTCCACGGTGTTGGTAACCGGGAAGTGATAACCACCCTCGTCCTTCTAACAGCACTCGAGACCACTATATTCATAATCAATTTCCCTCTAACAGAGGCTTAATTGCCACTTAGTCTTTAAAATCTGATCAGCACCAAGAACTAGAGAGATTCAAAACTAGTCACTACTGATTATTCGGTCATATTCAGGTTTGTCTATATATTTTTGCCATGTTCGAGTTAACTTGACTTCTTTTTTCCGTCATTTGTGTTTTATATAGGTTCTGGTTTCTACAAGTTATGACAATAAGATAAATGTGTACAAAGAGGAACTTGATGATTGGGCTGTTTTTATTCAATTAAGTAAGTGATGATTATCCTAATTTTGTTACCAAACTTCTTTTTAAACTGGTATCATATTCTTTAATCTTCAGAGCTGCTTCCGTATTTAATTAAATAATTTTAAGTACTAATTAGTAGTTTATATTTCTACACTAAATATTCGATGACTCATCTCATGGTAATGCAATATTAAATAAACGGATTTAGTCAATTTACCATCTAGATGTTTTACTCAACGCTTCTTTCAATTGGATACCTTTTTTGTTTTTGTGAGTCAGTTCATGTTATTAATTTATAACATGTCATTACGCCAAGAGTTTACTGATGTCAATCTAACTCTTTCGTCATGTTAATTAAGATACCTGTTTCAATGAAATTTCTTAGAAAGTATAATGTACGATGCACCTTTTCATTTTACTTAGGAGTATGCTATTTTTACTGTTATCCTTTGAAGTGAATATGCTCTGAATGTGGGATCTTAATTTAATTGAAGCAGTTCCTTTAGCTTAACTGAACTACTCATCAAGGATCAAATATAAACTGTTAGGCAGCGTTTAGAGACGGAAGTTGTTTCGATGGAGTGGGAAAACTTCAGTCGAAAATTCGTTAAGTCTAAAGTATAGATCAGGAAAAAGTTAAATTGCTTCACAGTGGTTTTTGCAAGTTATAGCTCTTATGAGATAGTGAGTGACTATTCAGTAGGTCTTCTTGAATCCTACACATTTTGTTCCCTCTAGCAACTCGATTATAACATTATTTCCAGAAATATGAAGTCGTATTTTGTTAAATTTTCGTCAGCTGACTAGTATCTATATAAATAAATACATAACTATCGTGTAAATGAATTTAATTTACGTGTAGAAGGTAAAGATGTGCAGTTCACTCTTTCAAAATAAAACTTAAGACTACAAAATGATGACACTAGGTATGAACATTCTTCTTCTCTACTTTGACTGGTTAGTGATTATTGACCATAACCGGTTGCCCAAACCTAGTTAAGCAAGGCAGAGTTTCAACCTACTGTCTACTAGTTGAAAGTCGGGTGTCATAATTACTAAGACACTGCCTCACGTTGTTAATGAAAACACTCTGTAAGTCGATATAAATTAGGTCGAAGTTGTCAGTTATGTTGCATGTTGAATAAATTACTCAAATCGCCCTTCGGTTGTACTTTTCATTATCATATTGATGATATTTTATGCAGAGATGAACGGTAACTAGCACTGGAATCCAGTACACTCGTTTCGTCCTGTTTGATAATAGTTGAGATGGGAAGTCTAAAATACACATTTAGTAGGAAGTGGGGAGTATTGACTTCTAGATTTTCACACATTACTAAGAAAGTAGGAGATCTTAAACCGCTTCCCTTCAATACATAAATTGGTTTGAATCCACCTTATGGTACATAGTAGCTAATAGTTAATATAACTCAATAAGCATGTACAGGTTGCTGTATTGTCTGGCAACTAGAATTTCAGTAAGTAAGACAGGTTTTGAACATGTAACCGAATATTTGGAAGCCAAGTGCTTCACCTACTAAACGATATTTATATGATCACTAACCTTACAGGGTTATCCTCTGTATCAGTACTTGTCTACTTTTAACTTCGAATCACAGCTTTCTCACTACGAAATGAGTGTGCAAGCAATACTGACGTTACACACTGATTTTTTTGCATGAAAGGTAAACTACTGGGTGATTTTGTTGTTAATTTACCTATCTGAGGTATATGTTATCTATGTCCGCTGGTGTGTATTACTTAAAGCAATTTCCCGGATAGTCTTAGTTCTTAGAAGTAGATACTTATCTAGCGTTATGAAATAGTAACATTGATTGTAACCTCTGTTTGTTTATTCAGTATAAATGTTACACATACCCCATGCATTAAAAATTAATTAACCAGTAATCTTTGCGTTTATTTTTCCGAGTATGTTATTTTATTTATTTGTTTCAACTTCCTTAGCTGGACATGACTCCACTGTGTGGAAAGCAGAGTTTTCTCCATCTGGTGACATTTTAGCAAGCTGTAGTGATGATCGATGTATCAAACTTTGGGGATGGGAAGGTGAGTTTTAGAAATGTATCTTTTAGTTTAAATATAAATTTCCAAATAACTGGCGACATGGCTGAAAATCGATCACAATAGTGTCTTCCCTTAAACCGTGAGATTAAAATCACTTTACACCTTTCTTTCCATGAACCAATTCTTTCTCCTTGTATCATACCCCTACATATTATCCTTATATATATATTACTACCATTGAAGTAACTACTATGAATTTGGTGTTGATCTTATCGTACTAATGAGGTACGGCAACTTGAACCGATTCATATGTGCCTGATCCTACGTAGTGGATGACTGACTGACTAAAAACAAACAACACATTGTTGAGGGAGAGTGGGTTATTTTTACTCTCGTTTACTTAAATTCTCCTTTAGAACAACTTGATATAGCGCATTTCTTCACTTAGGTAAGTTAATTGATTGGTATACAAAGTTCAGCGCGGTTGTATTCACTTTTGCAAGAATTTGAGACTTGGACATAACTTCTGAAGACAAATAATCACATTCTAGCCCGTCAAATTTATTGTTGCAAAGGTTCTCAAAGGTCATTTATTTTTCGATGTTCTCGTCTGTCATGTTTCATCTATCTATCAACACTTCATTCTTCATTTAACAAAAGCTGTACTATCTATTATAAAAAAACTAGTCATTGATCGAAAATCTACTTAACACGGTAATCGACGTACAAGTATTCACTAAATAAGCGAAGTTTGATTATAAATACTCTCTCCATTTGAACAATGTTAAAACAAGAACAATTACAGAGTAGGTAAATTAGTGTTATTTGATTTTCTGCTAGGAATATTCAACGTCCTGATAATATGATAAATTAAACTTACTGGAGGCCTAATTGGAGGAGTAGACAGACAAACGAACATTATCTGCATAGAGTGCGAGATTGATGGTCCAGGTTTCCATATTACATTAACACGAAGAGATAGAAAAAACAAGACAATTAGCAAAAAAGCCGTATGTAACGTAGTAGCAATAATAATAAGACTAAACATTAGGAATGTTTCGAAAAGACTGGATGGAAAGGTGTATCTCGTGGATTACTGGAATTTAAGATCGAGAGGGAAACAAAGAGTGAATCCATTTAGGCCATTGAGAACTATCTTCGGTCATGTCACCCCGAGTCCCCAACCACTGATCAAGGTTATCATGTAGACTCCAATCGTGTAGTCTGCAACCTGTGGCGCACCTCAGTCCATGAAGATGTACTGCCTCATCAATCGATTTGCCATTCCTACCTGGTACCGTGTGTCTAGCATCAACACGACTTGTTTGATGGTCCTAGAATGCACTAGCAATGCTTCGATGGTATCTCTGATCTAATACCAATAACTTGTGAATATTCTCCATTTTTGAAGGTCACATTTCACAGTCATAAAGTGATCGAACAGTTGTTCAGTGAACGGGTTGTTTGTTTGGTGAACGAACATCCCATCTACATTACATGCGCTACAAGTTAACGAAAAGCAAGCAAGCTTACCGAGTCCGTGTCGTGATTTCTTCAGACACCAAGACAAGTGGAGTGATCGATACGCTCAATCACTTTACGTCGACGCGGATCATTTCGCTTCTATGTAGAGATAAGCATCCTAAACATGTTAGCACTGTCGTTTAAAGCGGTAATAGGATTGCGTTTTTTCAGCGTATTTGCCACGCAGAACGATACCATCTGCATATTGTAAGTCAACAAGAGAGTTTCGTGGTAGGTTAATTGCTAAACAGTGAAACGATGAAAAATAATAACAGAAAGCGGACAATCCTGACGAACATTACTCGAAGTTAACTGCTTCGACGGCAATGCTCCATAAGTTCTGGTCCCACTAGTAGTGTTCGATTATTGAGGGCATATAAGGTTTGTATACTTCCTTTGTACACCTTTGAGTGACAGACGCTCCCATAAAACCTTCTCATCAAATCCATTGATGAAGACTAATGAAACTACCTAATTTCTAACCTATAAGATGATGAATGAAGTCAAGAGCTTTAATTATTAAATTACTTGTACGTGTAACCTATAGAAGATTGTATATCTCTATGTACTTTTTTACTCATTGAAATGTGAAAATTAAACCTTATCTTTCATGAGAATTAAAGCCCAGACTTCTAAATAGTTGGTCGCATATTCGAATACTATTCGACCTACATTGAAAACGTCACATAAATCCATCTTGATCTAATACATTTCTTCAGATATGTCCACTTATTTACATCTCAAACCTGAAAATTATATAATAATGTTTCTACTTATCTTTCCATCAATGTTCTAATTTATCCTCCCTTTAGTGATTTTTACTTTGTATTATTAAGATTTGTTACAGATTCCACACTGGGAATATTTTGCAACAATCTGCTGTAAGTTTTAGTGTTACAGTTCTATTACACGGTGGACGAATTATATCACACTCTATATTGTCTTTTAGGCCGGATAATTATGTGATTTATTCACCAGAATACGACTTATACAATCTTAGCACTGTGCTAAACCAATGACATATCGACCGGTATGATCAGCCTAGCGTCCTTATCGGTTCTTTTTTCTCCTAACCCTGCCAGTTGAGTCCATAACACCAATACTAGTTCCCACCATACGAATCATTTTAGACACACCCGGTTTATATACAAGCCAAACGGATCACATCACACCATAAAATAAGAAATAACATTTGTACAAGATCGAGCCAAAAGGTGGTTATGAATGTGGGAGACTAATTAATAAACCAAGTATAATTTAAGAATAATAGATCGTATCATAATAGTCTATGGTCAAAATAAAGCTTATAATAAGAGGAATATAGATATACATAAATAGTTCTCAGAAGTTACCCGTAATATATATATATATATATATATATATATATATATATATATATATATATATATATATATATATATATATATATACTTATAAATTCACTCTTTACGGATAAAAAAACAAAGAAACATTGTTTACACATTTCTATTTCTACTGTCACATCAACAGCAGTGACAAACCGGGGTGAGAGGAGTAAAAACATAGTCAATTATGGAGAACAGCAGGAAGAAATAGTAACCTTTTATTTATTGAATATAAACTTGCTATTTTTTGTTGGGGGTCTTATATGACATGCGATGTTTATAAAGTGCAACGCTATATATATCACCTTAAGTTGTAAGGAAAAATGGGAAAACATGAAGGATTTATTTCAGTTGTTACATACAATAAATTTAAGGAGAAAGATAAAGCGACGGGACTACACAACGACAACTACACTCATTTTTAACCAGTCGTAATATATAATTTTATGAGGCAAAAAACACAAAATAGAAGTAAAAATGTTGAACTGTCAAAGAAGAGTGGATAAGAAGAAAGAAACTTGGAATAAGAAAAATGCATAAGCACTCTATTCCTCTATCCGTAGGCGTAATAGATGATTTATCACTGAATTTAATTGAATGAATTTACACAAGGATAATATGACAAGTGTGGAAAAAATGCACATAAGTAGAGATAACAAAGTCTCTGTCAAGGTAACTCTAAATATTTGTGGTTATTAGCACACATCACTCGTGGAATTGCAAGTAACTAAACATGAAAGTTTAAATGGTTTTTTACCCCAAAATTAACATTAAAAAATTAGTAGTGACAACTGTGATACTATGATAAACCACCTTTTACGCGAGTTATGCTGTGTAACATTTGCATATTTTTATGATTAAATTGGGAGTTAAAACTGATTGCATAGCACTATTAAAATTTATTGAGCAGCCTATTTGGTTATGACAAGTAAAGCAACAAATCAGCTTCCCAGATCCTTCTTAAGCATTTTCACCAACATAAGAAAGAAATTAAGTTCAACTCTTTATACACTTGCACATTTGTATTTAATGGATACTTATCTTACGCTAGACGAGTTATAATATGCCTTATCAAACTCTCCCCCATGCTGTTAGTTGTATGGCATGTATAGTCCTCTTTCAGAATTTGGAACAATCCAAACCGAAAACTATAAACTCTATACGTATAAAATGTTACCATTAAGATTATTAGCCAGAAAGAATTTAAAACCTATAATCCAGATTGTCGGCAGTGTAACTCGCATCCACAAAGCAAATCATTAAATTAAGATATCATTGAGATGCATTATTGACTAACTGGGTATAAATGTAGTTTTCTTATTTTTAACAAAATATATTAAGTACATTTTTACTCTAGCTCATACAACGTTAGTTAGATATAGCTTTCCTAGAAGAAAAACGGACCATCAAACAAGTCGTGTTGATGCTAGACACATGGTACCAGGTAGGAATGGCAAATCGATTGATGAGGCAGTACATCTTCATGGACTGAGGTGGTTCGGAAATGCATTACATACGCCCAATAATCGCTTACGTGGACACCAGGGTGCTTGGTACCTGTGTGGTTGCGCCACAGGATTGAGCTACACTACTCAGATTGTAGAGTTAAAGCCTATCCGGTGTCTTACTCTCCTGTCAAACGGGCTTGGGCTGTACTGTTTAGGTTGACACGTGAAAGTCTGGACGGTGTCTGGTTCTCCTGAAAACCGATGTAAAATTACCCTGGCCCACACGGGTAAATTATATAACTGTGAATGACACCAAAAGCCCTGTTATGGCCGACAGTGGGGTGGGTTCGCCCTCCCTCTCAAAATACTCTCACACGGCCACGCGTATACAGCCTCTGCCAGGGAAGTCCTACTCACTGCATTCACGTGGCTAGGGTGTTGTTTACGAAAATGAGAGGACGAAAAGCGAATGTCCGGTGCTTTAACCGGATCCCAAACCAATGGTGCACATGGGCTCCAGTATCCTGAAGGAACAAATGGCGTATAAACCAATCGTTGGTCACCGGCTACCATGTGACTGCATCTCCTTATGTTGCTCCACTGCCTTGTGGGTCAGACCTTTAGGTCGAAGGCTCCGGGTGTGGCTTACTAAGAAAACTACCTGCTTCAGTCTGGGCACTCGAGCAGTATCACGGCCCACACACAA